CGCCCTCACCAAGCTTTCACAAAGCTTGAGGCCAGCCTGGTCTCCAGTCACGCCCTCACCAAGCTTTCACAAAGCTGCAATCCCAGTGCCTCAGGATCCAAGGATCTCCCATGCCCTCTGCTGGCTTCCGTGTGCACCCACACAGACACAAATAAAAATAAAGTATTTTTTCTTTGAGACAGGCCCTTGTGCTGAAGCCCGGCCTCATTCTTGGTCCCTGCCTCAGCCTTCTATGCTGAGATTCACCCATAAGCCATCATACCAGCTCTCTGTCCTAATTCAGTCTTACGTGCAGAAGTCAAACGAGACTCAGAAAATTGTCACAACTGGGGTTAAATACCCGAATCTCTCAGAAGTCCATGCCCTGTTGTAATTGTGTGTGTGTGTGTGTGTGTGTGTGTGTGTGTAAGTGTAAGTTTGGATGCCTGTGATTGAACACAAGGCCTTGTGCTGTAGCCCCGAGTTTTATCTGTCTGGAAGCCTGTGTTTTTGATCACTGTTCTGTCCTATATTCCCCTTTGCTATCTTAATTTCTCCTTCTGTGAAATGGGGCCATTATCTGTCTCACAAGATAAGTGTGTTACAGAGAGCGAAGGCGACAGCACCGGGCATCTCTGGAGCCTCAGCGCTGTCACTGGGGTTGGCTCAGGGTACCTGCCCCGTATCCTGGAAAGCTGTCCTCGCTTGCTTTCATCCCGTCCAAACATCCTCATTTTCAGAATCTCAAACTGACTGCCTGTCCCCACAGGTGATCTCCATGGTCATGGTGGCTGTGGGTGTGTACGCCAGGATGACGAAGCACGCAGGTAGGCCCTGGGTCTCCCTCTGCCTCCCCGCACAGGCTCCTGCTCCAGAGCTGGCCCCAGGCTGAGGTCAGAGAAGAGGCTCCCCGGAGCCTAGCCTCCCCAACTCCCCAGCCTTCCCGAGCCCAGCCTCACCAGAGCCCAGCCTCCCCCAAGCCCAGCCACCCAACCACTTCCCTCTGGATCTCAGGAACCTGTCTGCATGTGGGACCGAGTCCTGCAGAGAAGCCAGCTGTGTGGAAGCAGAGAGCAGGCAGGGTCTTGCTCTCCCTCTTAGCTTGTGGAGCAGCTCTGTGTCCATCCCTCTGCAAAGCCTTTGGTGAATCACCCCTAGGGACCCCAACGCTGCTAGTGAGCGGCTAGCTCAGGCTAGCTCAGCCCTCTCGGGAGCACAGCGGGCCTCCGCTCACACTGGACTGCTCCGACACACTGCTCCCCGTGACGCTGGCTTTCCCACAGTCCTCGCCAGGCGGGGAAGTCCCCAGGACGGGGAGAACAGGTTGGGTGCACCCCTCCCTCCTCTGCTCCCAGTCGGCACCGGGCTCCAGCTGAGGTGAGCCTCTCTCCCAGAAGCAGCCTTGGCGTGTCTGGCGGTGGACCCCGCCATCCTGCTGATCGTGGTGGGCGTGCTGATGTTCCTCCTCACCTTCTGCGGCTGCATCGGGTCCCTGCGGGAGAACATCTGCCTTCTGCAGACGGTGTGTGCCCGCCCCGCCCTGCCCCAGGCCGCCCCGCCCTGCCCCGCCTCGCCCCATTCTGCCCGCTGAGCCTGTGCTGCCCCATCCTGCACGGTCCTGCCCCGTGCTGCCCGCTGAGCCCCTGTTGCCCACTCCTCACTGCAGAGCGCTGCCCAGGGCGGCCAACTCCGCGGCACTGTCGCAGAGGCAGCAGAGTTTGCAGTGTGGCCGCTGTGGAGGAGAGCCGGGCTGGTCCTCGCCTTGGCCCGGGGGTGGCTGCTTCTCATCGCAGTGACCATGGCCTCCTTTCTTGCCACAGTTCTCTCTTTGCCTCACCGTCGTGTTCCTGCTGCAGCTGGCCGCTGGCATCCTGGGCTTCGTCTTCTCAGACAAGGTAAGGCGGGAGCCTAGGGGCCTCCTAGTACCGGAGGGAGCAAGGGGAAGTGACTACTTCTGGTTAATTAATCACAGCGCCGTCCCCTGGGGAAGCATCAGCCCGTGAAAAGTTTCCTTAGGGATGGATAAATGGCCCTTAACAGCAGCCTGTTTAAAGAGAGTTTCGTGACTGTAAGGTGTTTTCCTTGGACAGCCTGAGATGCCGTATAGAGCAGGGGCAGGGTATAGCATCGCAAGCATTAAAATAACCTTCGAACAGGACCGGTAAATGACTAAGGAGAACTCAGTGATCGGGGCCACAGACAGCTCCAAGAGGCCCTCAGCCAGGAAGTGTTTCTTGAACTCATGGAAAGCAGAGAGCTGGCAGACCCCGGGCCTCCTGGAGGTGGGCTGCTTTGAGCCACAGTCCTAATTAAGAATTTCCTTTATTCTCAGCACTGGGAAGCCAGAGGCAGGGGGACCTCCATGAGTGTGATCCAGCATTGCCTCCTTAGTGAGTTCGAGGCTAGCTGGGTCTATACAGTAAGAAATCTTTTTAAATTAAAAAAAAAGAAGAAGAAAAGTGTAGCCAGGTATGGTGGCACATCCCTTTAATCCCAGCCCTCAGGAGGCAGAGGCAGGTGGATCTGTGAGTTCCAGGCCAGCCTGGTCTACACAGTCCATTCCAGGACAGCTTGAGCTCCCCCAGACAAAACAGAACACACAAACCAAGAAAAAGAGGGAAGAAAATCTAGCCAGAATTTTACTTTCAAACGACAAATAATTACCAGGAATAAAGTACAAGACCATGAAATAAAGTCACAGGAAAAGAAGCCAGGTGTGGTGGCACACATCCTTAATTCCACTGCCCTTGAGGCAGGTGCGGCTCAGAGTTCGAGGCCAGTCTGGTCTACAGAGTGAGTCCAGGACAGCCAGGGCTACACAGAGAAACCCTGTCTCAATAATAAACACACAGAAAACCATAGGAAGAGCCGCTGAGCAGAAAGAAACCACAGGACAAGGTTAGCCACTGAGCTTATCTGTAGCTTAGTAAAGCAGATCTGAAGACACGATTTCCTTGTGTCCACTAGAGGTCAGTGTCTCCACTCAGTCAGCTCCTTTCTGATAGATCAAGACAAAATACAGCTATTTTGAGGTACTAATATACGGAAGTAGGTAACTGTGTCATTTCAAGAGATAGTTCTGAGGTGCTGTGACACTGGGACCCGTGCTCCTCTGCCCCACTGCTACCCAAGGCCCAGAGTGCACGGGCCCCAGCCAACCAGCCAACTAGCCAAATGACCTTTCTCCAGGTCTCGGGGTGAAGACGATCTGAGGGACTACGACCCTGACCTTTGGCAGCTGGGGTAATTTTACCTTTGTGACCTCCCCAGTTCTTGGGAGGCAGTCATGCTTCCCACTGTGGTATTAAGGAGGAAAGAACATGAGTTTTAGCTGTCGATAAGGCTCTCCCTCTGCATCCTGTGTGAACGAGGATTGGAGCTTAGGGTGTCCTCACTCACCAAGGCTGACAGGGCTTCTCATTAATCTTTAGGTCTTTGGCTGGGAAAGCACAAAGTGAGTCTGCGGCAGACTGAGGCTCCCCAGTGAGCTAACGGTCCACAGGATGCAAAGACACATCCGATGTGTAAAAGGGAGGCTAGAATGGGAGAGGGTGGCAACAAATAGGTATGGTGGAAAGATTGGGGGTGCGACAGTTCATAGTGTCTGGGGACCTTTCGGCAGCACTACCTTCAGAGGCTATCTGCGTAGACCCAGGGCGGGTGGGAGTGCTGATCCGCTGGAACATGGCAAGGAGAGGAGGGCTGCCCTGTGCCTTTGAACACACTGTGGTGTGTGGAGGGGGCCCTCCTGCCTCCTAGAGGCTGGTGTGACAGGGAGCCACAGAGAAACCTGGAAGGGAGAGCTGTGATGAAGCACCATAACCAGGAACTTAGACAAGCTTGTTTGGGCCTGTGGAGACACAGCAATGGGTAGGGGGCAGAAGTGGGGTGCTGAGGGATCATCTTGAAGCACAGGCAGGAAACAGAAAGTGCACTGGGAATGGTACATGGCTTTTACACTCCAGAGCCCACCCTCAGTGACATACTTTCTTCACCAAAGCCACACCACACACACACACCAAACCACACCACCAACTAGGGACTAAGTACTTAAACATTGTGGAGGACGTTTTCTTTCAAACCACCACAAATGCTGATCTGCGTTTGCTGTTGTTTCTGAGGGATTAATAAATTATGGGTTACTCTCCTGTCCTGATTGCATCTGCCAGGCTCGGGGGAAAGTGAGTGAAATCATCAACAATGCGATTGTGCATTATCGAGATGACCTGGACCTGCAGAACCTCATCGACTTTGGCCAGAAGAAGGTACCAGCCAAGTATGGTGTGCTCAGCCAGTGTCCTGGGCTCGGGGGAAAGTTAAGATTATCGCAAGAAATGTCTCACTCTTGAGGCCTGTGGACCTCTTACCTGCTAAGTAATGCATTCTGGGAAGGGTTTTGGGGTGGAGAACAGGCACTGTTAAGGACATAGAATGGTACATAGAGAATTACAAATATATATATATATATTAATATATATATGAAATGAAACATATGTATGTGCTTATGTAAAGAAGAGGAGAGGAAAAACTGTGTAGTCTCATTTATAAAAGGATGCTGGAAAAATTTTAAGAAACCATTTTAAGGGGTTGCCTATAGGGGAATGAGGAACTACCATATTTTATTATATATTACATTAAAAATTGTGGCTAAATACGATAAAAAAAAATACCATTTTGTGCCAGGCACTGGTGGCTTGCGCCTTGGATCCCAGCACTCAAGAGGCAGAGGCAGGTGCATCTCTGAGTCTGAGGCCAGCCTGGGCTATAGAGGGAGTCCAGGACAGCCAGGGCTACACAGAGAAACCCTGTCTTGAGAAATAAACAACAACAACAAAATTTTGTTTTGTTTTGCTTGTTTTTGTGAAACTAGGAGTAGACCTCAGAGCCTTGACCATCATGGACAAATACTATATAACCCTGAGCTATCCCCAGAACCCAGAATTTACCCTTTTAGGTATTAAATGTATTTACAGTAACTGGAGGTAGTTGGGAGCCTAAGACAGAAAGATGAAGCACTCAGGGCCTACCTGGGTTATGTAGGGAGCTCACGGGCTGCCTGAGGAACAGCCTAGTGGGGAGCATCTGCCTGTGTGTGTGTGAGGCCCCAGGTATAGAAGTGGGGGAGGGGCATCACCCTGCATGTCATGACACCATCTATCATCAAGGCGTCCATCTTTGCCTGTATGGCAGTGCTAGAAAAATGGAAGCAGAAAGACTTGGAGTGAAAGCCACACTTGGCCTCATATTGAGTTCCAGGCCAGCTGGTTACAGAGAGCCCACCTCAGCAACACAACACGGCTCTTTTCAGGCTAATAGGTGGCTCAGCGGGCAAGCAAAGCCTGACAGAGAGCCTGAGCTTGAGTGCAGGGGTCCACAGTGAAAGGAGAGAATGCCCTATGGCCTTTACGTATGTGCTGTGTGCACTCAGACACACACACACATGAACTGTGCCCATTAAACACTTCCCATTTCCCTCTCATCGATGCCACCTCAATTCAGCTCTGTGGCTGTAACTAACTACTGAGGGGATGCCGTAAGAATGGGGGTACGTGTCCTCCCGTGACGGACGGCTGTCACGGCAGGTCCTCCAGTTTCATCTGTGTTGTAGTTCCTTCTTTACGGGGAACTCGGAACACCTGCCTGCTGTTTGAGTGGCTTTCAGCTGTTCTGGGCTGTAAATCAGAGTTAAGCGTGACTCTCAGCGCTTCCGGCCAGTTCGCTTTCGTGGATAAGTTAGGACTCATGATGCTGAAGATTCTCTTCCATGATTTCTCTTATGTCAAGGGTTTTGGTTTGGATGTTTTCTTAATTTTTTTTTCTCTTGGTAGTGCTGGAGTGAATCCAGGAGTCAGACATTTCAAGCATATGCCCTGTCACTGAACACCCCAAGTTCAAGCCAGGAAATTTTGAACATCTCCTTTTGCCAGACTGCTTTGTAGGGTTATACATCCTGAACCTTAAGAATATGTACTGAATAATATGTACAGTTTCCTGTGTGTGTGTATACGTGTGTGTGTGTGTACACACGTGAGCTCGAAATTGGGCTATCATAATTTACATAAAGAATTGAAAAGAGAGTTTCTTCAGGTGAAAGCAACCGAGAAGCGTGAGTTCACAGATGTGCTTAGACTCCCTTGCAGTCACAGCCAGCGCTTGCCTAGCCCTGTGCCCCTGCTCAGCGTTGGGCTCAGCGCCTTAGTCTGTGCACTCTGTTGCAGTTCAGCTGCTGTGGAGGGATCTCCTACAGAGACTGGTCCCAGAACATGTACTTCAACTGCTCGGAGGAAAACCCGAGCCGCGAGCGCTGCTCGGTGCCTTATTCCTGCTGCCTGCCCACCCCCAGCCAGGTGAGCGAGCCCCCAGCCAGGTGAGGGAGACCCTACCCCCAGCCAGGTGAGGGAGCCCTCCACCTGCTTCCTCCAGGGTAAGGCTGTTATGGGAACACTCCATTCTCACTTAAGCAGCTGGTTGTGCAAGATGGCTGCAGGGTTTGTCTTCACGTTAATGTGGGGGTCACGTTAGCCTCTTAGGCCCACAGGGGGTGCAGAAGGGCAGCCCCAAGGTGGAGGGCTGGACCCAGAGCACCCAAAGGAAAGGAATTCTGCACTTGGCCATTTTTTAATTAAATTTTTATTTTTTATATTAATTACAGTTTATTCACTTTGTATCCCAGCTGGAGCCCCCTCCCTTGTTCCCTCCCAATCCCACCTTCCCTCCCTCTTCTCCTCCTCCTATGCCCCTCCCCTAGTCCACTGATAGGGGAGGTCCTCCTCCCCTTCCCTCTGACCCTAGCCCCTCAGGCCTCATCGGGACTGGCTGCATTGTCTTCCTCTGTGGCCTGGTAAGGCTGCTCCCCCCTCAGAGGGAAGTGATCAAAGAACCAGCCACTGAGTTCATGTCAGAGACAGTCCCTGTTCCCGCTTACTAGGGTACCCACTTGGAGACTGAGCAGCCATGGGCTACATCTGTGGAAGGATTCTAGGTTATATCCATGCATGGTCCTTGGTTGGAGTATCAGTCTCAGAAAAGACCCCTGGGCCCAGAGTTTTTGGTTCTGTTGCACTTGGCCATTTTTATTCCAGCATTTTCCACAGACATTCTCCAGCAGCTTAGGGGTTGGAAAAGTTGGCAAGTTTATCGGGTAGTGTTTCGTGGTGTGGGTGTACCATTCGCTTGTAACCTCTCCTCAGGCCGTCATCAACACCATGTGTGGCCAAGGTATGCAGGCTTTTGACTACCTGGAGGCCAGTAAGGTCATCTATACCAACGGCTGCATTGACAAGCTGGTCAACTGGATACACAGCAACCTTTTCCTGCTTGGCGGTGTGGCGCTGGGCCTGGCCATCCCCCAGGTAACTCCCCCGTCCAGCTGGTGGGTCTCTGGGCTCTGCAGAGGGTGGGAGGGTCGTGCTTGCTGCACTGGGAAGACTGAGCCTTGGAGAGCAGAGTGGCCCCTGCTCAGGGCCTGATTCCTTCCACCTTTGCAGCTGGTGGGGATCCTGCTGTCCCAAGTCCTCATCAATCAGATTAAAGATCAGATCAAGCTGCAGCTGTACAACCAGCAGCACCGGGCGGACCCGTGGTACTGAGAAGTCTCCCAGTGTCTCCTGACCGCTGCAGAGAGCAGAGGGTGCTGTTCGCAGCCCCCAGCGAGGGCCCAGTGGAAAGAAGCCAACTCCAGAGGACAGGGCGCAAGATGGCTCAGGTCTCCCAAGGCTGTGCCTCATCTCCCCGCCCTCGCAGCGGCATTGTTCGAGAATTGTCTTGTCCAGTTTCTAACCCTGAACATTTGCGCGTTCTTTTGGGCAGAGATGTGTGGCAGGCAGCTGGGGTACAGAAGGCTGTGGGGACGCCAGCCGCATGCTTTTCCCCAGGCACAGCAGACCGCTCTGTTTGCTGAGCGAGGTGGACATCCTGAGAGGCTGCTGCCAGGGTCCTGTCTGTGGAAAGGACACTAGCGGCCCTGCCTGGAGCCCGGCTGCGTGATCCCAGCTCCAGAGGGGCAGGGAGTGAAGCGGGCAGAGGGAGTGAGCCCGGGGCTTGGACCGGACAGCCGGGTACACGTAAGGAGTGGAGGGGGCTTGTTTACCAAATGCTTGCCTTGCCCTCCTCCCAGGCAGTCAGGGGGAGCGGCCTCCTGTCCCTCCTTCATTCCCATGGAAACATGGCAGCGGGCAAGGGGTCCAGAGCAGCCACATTCCTCCCCATCCTTCCCAAAATGTTTGGCACCCTCTGCTCTGCGCTGGGCAGAGCTGGATAAGCCTGCCCTCCCTCCGCAGCGAGCCGCGTTAACTTGGCCGAGGAGAGGTAGCGCCTCCACGCATGCCCCGCCTCGGCGTGTCTCGGCGTGGAATCTGGCAGGCGCCGTAAACGCTTGTGGGCCAGCCACCAGTTCACCGGCCCGCCTCCCGGGGAGACCCCCGAGCCGCACAGCGCCTCCCTGTTCCCGCCCAGGCCCCGGCTACGTCAGGGTCTCGCTCTCGGGGCTGAGAGATTCCAGGTCCTGATCTCTAGAAGCAGCGTTGCTGCATTTCAAACCCCGAGCTTAGTTTGCTTGCTTGCTTGCTTGCTTGCTTTTTGATCCCAGCGGGTGGAAACTCGCTTAGGACGGGGTGGAGAGCACGCCGCATCACTGAGGAAGGCTGGGCCCAGCCTCCGTCTTTGTCTGGAGGAGCTGGGTGCTGACGCCCAGCCCGCCTTCGGGAGCACCGGGCCAGCCCTGGCGGCCTGTGCGCTTCCCTCGGCCCGGGCAGCTCTCCGAGGGCGGGCGGCACCGCCACGTGGGTGGTCCCTACCCGGGGCGAGGAGCCGCCCCTGCAGCCAGGGCCTTGGGCCCGGCCCCCTGACCTGGCCCGGGAGACTTGGGCTTCCTCCGCCGGCCTCTCCGCCTGCGAGGGAAAGAAGAAATAAAGTCATCGCGAGTGTAAAAATAAGAGTGAGGGCCTTTATTTCGAGGAGGAAGAGGGAAAGGGGCACGCGTTCGTGGTAAGTGCCCAAAACATGCGTTTTCTCCTTTTCTTCTTCCGATAACACGGACCCAGAGTTAGTCGCTGTCCCCAGTTCTGCGGCAGCGTTGAGTAGCGCCCGGCACTGGTTCTGCTTGGACGGGATTCCTCCAATTTCTGCCAGTGCCTCAGACTTTAAAACTCGGTGAGTCAATGCTCAGAAGCAGGGCTCAGCGATTCTGGCCAAATCAAGCTTGTGGGTGACCCCCACCCATGCGGGCAAAAGACTCCATTTCTTTTTTTTTTTTCCTTCAGTTAAATTTTTACATATTTCAGTCAATCAGGGCAGCTGAACAGTATCTAAGAACAGCTGATCAAATAAAAATAATTTAAAAAACCCAAAGGTGAGTGAGAATCCAGTGGAGATTCTTTTACTGACTAATGAAATCAAGCTATGAGGTCAGAAGCAGCTGACAAGGCCAGAAGATGGTGGAAACCTGGCTGGGTGGCAAAAAAAAATGCCATTAGGTTCACGCCTTATAATTAAACAAAGGTCTTCTTTTATCTTCCCCCTCTTTTCCCCTTCCTTCCTCTCTCCCTCTCTCTCTTTCTCCCACTCTCCCTCTCTCCCTCTCTGTCTCCCTCCCTCCCTCCTTTTATGTTTGAGGCCAGGTTTCACTGGTTCAGCATCATGAAGACTAGGCAGGCTGGCCTCAAGCTCACAGTGATCCACCTGCCTCTGCCTCCTATCTTACTTTCTTTTTCAACGAATTAGCAGGAATGTAGTGCTTTAGAAGAACACGAATTTATCATACCCATTCTAGAAAACAAACACACAGAGGCTGGTTGAGTGAGAATCAAAATGTCATCAGGGGTCTACATTTTAAGGGATTTTTCTTCCAGCCCCCAGACACTGCATTTGTCCCCTCCTCCTACAGAATTCATCATTCTGTCATTGTGTCTCCTTTTTCTCTGACTCTCCCACCACCCTCTTCTGTGGCCTTATGACTGGGGCCAGTCAGATGGCTCACGGGAAAAGCTCTGCTGCCTGAGGTGGATCCCAACAACCAAACGGTAGAAGGGAAGAGCTGCTGCGAGCCCCTGACGGCCACACACTAGCTGGAGAATTCCTCCGTGTGTGCCACACAGTGAAGTGGAAAAAAGTGGAAACCCTTAATCTAACCACATCTCCCAAGTCCCTTTCTCCACTTAGGGCTTCATAGACATTTGGGCAGGGGCCATTATTTACCTATCACAAATCCCCTTTCTAGTCCTGTGTGTGACTTAAGCTGAGTCAGATGGACAGAGCTGCATGCTGGCAGGAACGAGGTAGTTCTCTGCTCATCTCTCTTGTAATCACCTGACACTGACTGAGTCTTACTGTGTGGACACACTTAAGGTCAGTGTGCAGGCTTCATTGTATAAGCAGGACCAGGATCAGTTTCAAAAGAAGCAGGGTACGCACCGAGGTCAGCCTGTCATCTTGCTGGTCAGGAAGGGGAAGAGGACTTGAAGCCAGTCTGAGCAGTGTAAGGAAATGGTGGGGAAAGGTGGGAGGTCTCCAGCACAGCCACCTCACCAGAGGAGTTCTGGTTCTCTGCAGGGCATGTTTATAGGAAATGGGTATTTCAGGTTGCTATAGAGCATTTAAAGGAAGGACTGAAACCAGGGGACTCAGGGTGGTGATGAAGCTTGCAGAAGTGCTAGAGGGTGTGGCTCAGTGGGAGAGCCCTGGCCAGCAGGTATGAAATCCTAGGATCAGCCCCCCTCCTCCCACCCCCCCCAATCCTGCAAACCTATAGTCCTCTCCGTGGCAGGGTCCTGATGAGCCAATTGGAGCCACAGAGCCTAGGGATTCCAAAAATAGTTTAAACATCATGGCTCAATTTAATGAAAAACAACATGGCAACAAGAGGAATGCTAATAGAACTCAGTGGACAAGTGGATTGCGATGTGGAAAACAACACACACCACAGAACATTCCAGAAGGCTGAAAGAGCTAAATATTGTAAAGGGATCCCAGAAAAGAAAGAGTGGAGAAGGGAACTGTTTGTCCCAGTTCTAGGGAACAGCATGGATTCTTTCTAGGTATCTGCCCCACACACGGAATCATCCTTCCCTGAGGGTGCTTCTAAGATCTGGTCCCCTGGCCATAAAGGACTGGGTCACGCTGGATACTGCGTTGGTTTTCTAAATCTGCCACCACAAAATGCCAAAACTCACATTGCTTTAGGCACGGACACTGCTGCTTTCGACCGTGGAGGCCAGAAACCTTTCAGGCAAACCTGAAAGCGAGGATCATGTACCCCCAGAGCTCCTAGGTAAGAACCTTCCTGCCCCTTCCAGCTTCAGCATCTCAAACACTGTATCCTTGCAGGGCCGTTTTCCCATCTGCATCTGTGTTCCGGTTTTCCTCTCCCTCACATGGACACTAGACCTAGCGTGGTGTGTCCTCGTTACATCTGCAATGACCTTTTCCAAGAAAGGTCATGTTCTGCGCTGGGAGGTGGTGTCTTTTTAGGGAGGACTACTTTACGCCCTATCGGATACCTTGTACAAATAGTCCCAGAGTGACTTCTTCTCCTGGGACTTTGGCTCTGAGGATGAGATTCTAGTCTTAAAGGGAAGTTGAAGGCCAGCCCTCTGACAGCTCGTGGACTAAACAGAAGAGAACATGGATTTGCCAAGAGAATGGAGCTGAGTGAGGCCTATGGGGAGGCAGAGATGGAAGGTGGAACGAGGAGCCCCTGGAGCAGCTTCCTCCAAGCTGCCTTTCTGTGGCTCTGCTGCTTTTCTACCGTGGGTCCCTGAGGTGCCCTGTGTGTTCACAGAAGGCCTGTTTCCTTTGCTCTGGTGTTGTAAATAAAATTGGTGTTAGCAGATGGGAAGAGAAGAAGGAGGAGGACTCCATGATGGGTTAGTGTGGAGAAAAAAACCACATGGACCAAGAGGAAGGACTCCAATAATGGCGTGAAAAGGCCCAGATGAAGAATAAAAGCAAGTATTTATAAGATTATGGATGGAAGGTAGCCCACATGAGGAAGGTTAAGGAGGATGGCATTGGATGGGGGCTGAGAGGTGGATGGTGAGGATTCTGAGACAGAGTAGGTGAAATATCTGCCCGGGATAATCTCAGGGCTGATAATAAATGTTATATAGCCCAACACATTTTTAATTACAACACTCAAGGAAGCTCAACTTGGTTCCTCTTGCTTATAAACAAAAATATTTTTTTAAAAACACTAGAAACAAACAAAAGGCCTGTGATTACTCCCATTGGATGTTCCAGTACTTTTTCATGGACTTCATGCAAAAGATACCCAAAGCTTTTGCCTCACAGCTTGGGAGGGCAGAATTCTGACACACACGGGTCTCATGGGGCAGAAATCAATGTGTCAACAGGGCTACTGTCCTTTCTGGAATCCTGACTACACGGCAGAATCTGAGTCCTTGTCTATTCAGTTTCCGGAGGCACCTGCGTTCCTTAGCTGGTAGCACCTCCTCCATCCTCAGAGCCAGCGCTGGTGGCCTGGGTCCTTGTAGTCCTCTGGCTCCGCAGCTAAGAGAAGTTTAAAGTTTTCCATTGTTAAAGGCTCATATAATTAGCTTGGGCCCATGTGTATAACCCGGTCCTTTCGCTCTCCGAATCTCAGCTACTCTTCATCCCACTGACAGGTCCCTTTTTCCGTGGTTGGCTGTGTGTGGTAGGTGGAGATTTTTAGGATTATTTTGTCAAGCCTATGAATACAATGAAACATATCAAGAGCATTTGTCATGAGCTGGAAGGCCAATGGTTTACTGTTTACTGTTCATCCCGACAGAACTGCTTCCCTCATTGAACTGCTCAGTCTGAAGCTCTTTCTGAGGAACACAGGGCCAGCATCGTCAGATTCCAGGACCTTTATTTAGCTGCCTTCGCAGAGCTGAAGTTTCAGAAAGACATTAAATGAAGGCATATTCCCAAACAGCCTGATTAGAGGCAGGGAAAAATGGAAAAGAATGGGATGAGATTTGTACCCCTACCGTGATGTGAATAGTTTAGCTGTCACTCAGCATAGAACCACCTGGGAAAGAAACTGACTGGCTTTTTGGCCACCTTATTGGGTTCTTACACTTATCACCCTTCTCCACCCCAATCCTTTCCAACACCCCAACACTGGGTGAGAGAGAGGGCTTAGAGGGGAGAAGGGTAGCCGTCCTTGGACTACTTCCTGCCGATTAGGGCCCTCAAGTTCTTGGGCAGCGTTGATCTTCATGTCGTCTCCTTGTCTTCTCCTGTCTTTGCATAGGGCCGCCTGACAAACCACAGCAAACAGCAACCAACCAGCAAAGGCCCAACCACAGCAGCCCCACCTTAGCACTTCCACAGCCTCAGAAAAGCTCCCAGAATTCCAGACATCACACGTTGCAGCTGACAGAACCGTGGCCCTCCCCTTCACTGGTCTCTGCTCTGCCGCCTGAGCACTAGCACGCATGTGCGTGCACGCCCCGGCCCTCCTAAGTCCCTGGAATTGTGAAACAAATGAACTCCCGTCTTCCTCCAGCTGCGTTTGTCTCAGTCTTTTGTCACAGCCACAAGAAAGGA